AGATTAAGTTTATTAAATATCAAGAACATTTCACATACAACACAAACACCAAAGCTGAGGCACGGTCAGAGAAAGAGTTCAGAAGGAGTCTGAGTTTGTCAATGAGAGACTCTGTGTCACCAGTTAGTAAGGAGGTAAGTCTTTGGGTTCTCTGGCTCTCTACTGAACCAGCTGCTCATGGTACTTGGCAAAACTTAAAAGGTTTAAGTCATCCTAGTAGTTCTATGTTACCGAATTTTATGAACTTGTTTTTCTTCAACAAAAATGTAAGAATTTTCAGTCTAAAATAAACTAGGTGAGAAATATGCCTTATTCAAGATGGCACAGACCAGGTACTCTGAAACCAGTCTATGGACTTTCTTTAATGGAACAAAAATTCCTGGGGCCTTCAGTGATCATGTAAATTAGTTATCTGAATACCTACAAATAAAGAACTAGTACAAATTATTACGATTATAGCCCTTAACTTACAGGTCAAATGAATTTTTAAAGAAAATAAAAAGAAAATTCAAATTTACAATATTAAAATTTTACTAAAACTAAATTGCTGACATGTTTTACTATGTAAAGCTGTAGCTTCAATACTAGTCCTATATTTAATTGTTTCTGTATTTGGCTTCAATGCTAGTAATGTGAAGATAAAACATTAACTCTGAGGTTGGTTCAGGATAATTTGGCCTCATAATTAACCAAAACTCCACAAGGAACAATACAATGACAAAATAAGTATCAGTTGATAATTTTATAGAACTATTGCTCATGTGAACATTAATAATGTAGTACTGCTGATTGAAATGTATATCCAATGGGTTACCAATACATCTAATCTATTAACTGTAGGAACTGGATATAGAAACACTTCTTGCATGAAAACAACTCTCCTATTAGTAATCTGCTGCCCCTGTACAGACCAAAATAGGATTCAATACTCTGCTTGAATGGTATAGGCTTTCTTGAGTTCAGAATGTCTCTTTACTACCAAGTACCATGGTAACCCAGCTTGTTCAGTCTACTCAGTCCACTGAGAAATCTTAATTTGTACAGAATGCAGATATTATCTAGATTTAAATTCATGAACACAATTATAAACTGGAGAGTAAGTACTAGTGGAAGCACTAAATTCACATAGCAGTTCTCAGTTGTTAACTGTCCTGAAAGACAACATGGAATAATATAATCTTAATGTACACTAAAATTTAAAAAGCATATATATATATATAACATTTCTAACCTATATGGACCCCTAGGAAATGAGGAGAGAAACCAATCAATAAGAATCATGAAGGATATGGTGCTATGCAAAGTGACAAAGAATGAGGATTTAATATATAAAGTGAAAAAAATATGAAGTGATGTAAGAGGTCACTGCAGGGAGAGAGAGCCTAACCAATCTGAAGAGTGTGTACTGGAAATAGTGGGAAATGATACCACAGAGAGGAAACCAGTGGGAAGAATGACATGGTTGAAAAAGGAGCCAGTAAAGATTTTAGATAAAGCAAGCACTGAGTCAGAAACTTTTGACAGACAGGATCACTGACCCATGCCTGTAATCCCAGCTACCCAGAAGGCAGAGATTGGGAAGATTGCAATTTGAACACAGCCCAGGCAAAAAGTTGGTGAGATCCCATCTCAACCAATAAAGCATGCCAACCCAGCTATGAGGGAGGCTTAAATAGAAAGTTGGTGGTCAAGTCCACTCAGGCAAAACCACAAAATCCTGATCCAAATATGACTAAAGAAAAAAGGGCTGGGGGGGGAGGGAGGAGAGCATGGCTCAAGTGGTAGAGCAAGGGCCTGAGTTCAAACCCAAGGAAAATAAAAAGATTATTTTTGCAGTATTGTAAGACAACAAGTGAGTATCATTACACCACAAAAGGTGGCCAAAAATCTTTATTTTCTGTTAATATCTGTGATAGGTGTTTTTGAGATAGGGTCTCATGAACTATTTGCCTAGGCCAGCTTTGAACTGCGATTCTCCTGATGTCTGCCTCCTGAGTAGATAGGATTACAGGCGTGAGCCACTGGCACCTGGCGAAGAGTCTTTTTTTTGCAAAATTGCCAGTTTACCAAACAGTCCCATCAGAAAAGCATGTGACCTCAAAGATAAATGTATAGAAAAGCTACCTTAATCTTTAATTTCACAATGGAGCCAATGTATAGCCATTTTAAATAAAACCTATTGGTTAGGTTATATCCTAGCCAGTAAGGCTAATTTTTAGGAAAAGGACTTTGAAAGATAAAAAAAACCAAACAAAACCTCATACATCTTTTTCCTTAATAAGTTTTAAAAGTTCTTTAGAATTTACAGTTTCACTTGATTTATTTCATGAAGAAAACAGGTAACAATTTTCTTTTGTGTGTGTGTGTCTATTTTCTTTATTGTGCTGGATGTGGGTACATTATAGTGTTTATAAAGGTTCTTACAATGTTATCAAATATATCATACTTGAATTCCCCCCCTCCACTACTCTCCCCCATTCCCCTCCCGATTCCTGGAATAGTTTCAACAAGCATCATTTTTGCATTTACATACATGTGTACACGTTGTTTGCACCATATTCATCCTCCTACCCCCTCCCCCGCCCTGTAACAATTTCCTTCTTTAAAACTGTGGTACTTTGGAGTGGGGCTAACTGAGTGGCTCAAGTGGTGCCTCCCTAGCAAGGTATGAGGCCTTGAGTTCAAACCCCAGTAACACACCCACACACAAAATTGGTACTTTGAATATAAAGATCATATGACTGGCCAGCTTTATGTCAGAAAGGATATGTGTCTTACACCTCTACAACCATGGGTCAGGATTTCTGAGCTACCTTAGTATCTAAAATCACATTAAAAAGACAAGGTGACTGACTAATCTGTACCCTGAACCAATTATTCCTAAAAAAAATTATCTTATTAACCAACCCAAATAACTACAGACTCATCATTTATTATCAAGAGTCTTAATCATGAGAATTTTCCTTTCTCACAAGGTAACAAAAATCCATTTACACACCTTTTAATTACTCTGGCTTGATTCCTTAGCCTTTTGGTGGCAAAAGTTACATAACTATAATCTAAGTACCATATGTTAAACCTATTGTATAAAATTGGTTGTATACACTTGCTTGTATATAACCAGTCAAAAGCTTTATAATTTACAATACCTTGACCTTTCCCATACATTGCTAACTTTATAAAGTTTAATTAAAAAAAAACCCAACTTACAACTTCATTGTAAATGTGAATTACATCCAGATCAAGAGACATCTAGAACCAAGATTCCCAGGGGTTTGGACCATTTTCATACATTAACATCAATGCTTTGTTCTACTTCAGAAATTATGAAATCAAGAATTATCTAAATTCTTCCTTTGTCTAAAAGAAAGATCACTCTTAGACCATCCCACTTAGATGAAAGCCTGGCCTTTATTTATTATGAAGACATCGGTGAATTTGAGTTCTGTTTGAGAGACCATTTGCAAGTAGTTCTTCTAGCTAGTAAGTTTTGGTTGACATCTGTCATGATCAATTGATGTTATTTACTTAAGCCCCAGGAATTCCTGAGAAAATCCAAAATAATGGGAATAACTTCATTTGTGAACTACTTTAATGTGTCTTCTTCTAAAGACATTACATGGATTGATTGTTCACTTGTCAGTAGAAGGCTTCTCAGTTGAATACTTAAGGGTAAATGGCATTTTCAAAATACTTTTAGATTAGGATCTTTTCTTTAGGAATGTAACACTGAGGATATACTACTACTTAATGGAAAAATAAATGCTGTGTAGAGCTGTCAGTTTGATATATTAGTTTTCAGAACCAAATAATATAAAATATAAAAGATAGAGCCCATAAAAATTGTTCAAGGTTGAATTTTTCCAATATTTAACATGCAGTTTAACATATATTTCCATGGTCATCCTTTTTCCTTTGTACAGAAAGTTCTTGTGTAGGTATTTCTAGGGGCCATACTCATTTATGTTTTCCCTCACAGGAAACACACGACTTAAGATGGATGACAAACGTTTTTCACAAGCACACTTGCTGTCTATGAAAACAAACAAACCGGATTACCATAAGAGTCAAGCAGAAGATACAAAGTGGCAGTGTCTGGGCAGCAGATATAGGTAGGGCTACCATACTCATAGTACCAAAACTACCAAATTCATCAGTGAGTTGATGGAATTCATGGGACTGAAAATTTTAAACCTGAAAACAGGCATTGCTATGAAATAATAAAACTGAATTTGATAACTCAATCTCTAAACCAAAACCACTATAGGTAAAACACTATACTACATGGTTATGGAGGTACTAGAGGGTTAGGGAGGGCCCAAAAATAAATTAGGATATTAAATTTTTGTTACTTCTAATTCTAGAGTTCATAATTCTACCCATATTAACCCACTAGTGAAAGTGTACCATCTAAAGAATAGATTAAAAGAAAAAATACAGCATTTACTCTAGATTTAATTTCTTTCTTTTAAAGTATTCCATTACTTAAAATGTAAAGTCCATCCATTTTTCCATGTCTTCTTTGATCACTGTTGTGGGGTAAAATTACACTTAAATTGAAAAAAACACACAAACAAAACTAGCCATGTCACCAACTACCAGGTAAAACTACTCACTACCTCAATGCATGTATAGCCACCCTTCTTTTCTATCACTATATCTTGTCTCTTGCAAGCTAAACAAAACAATGTGCTTCTGCAGGAACTCTGAGTCAGGCAGCAAGACTTTAGAGCTGTGTGAAAAAGCAAGTCTTGCCTTTTTTCCCTTAGACTTGTTTTGGTGTCAAAGTTAAAAGTTGTAACCTGTTATAATATACATTTTACTTCCTTCAGAAGGAAATCATTTACAAAACATTCTTTTATTTCATATACTTTTACTATTCAGTTAGAAAACTTTTTGCTCAATATGTTAATCTCGGGGTGAGGGGGAAGGAGGGGAGGAAATGAAGCTCAACAAACACAACAAAATAAAGTTGCTCTGCTATGTTGAGGATGCCAGGCTTTTTGTTACTCTACTTGAAAGTAAATGTGATTTGTCTGTAAAGAGTGCTGCTTCAGCAGTTCCAAATGAATTTCAAGCCTGTGCTCCATATTTTCTCTTTTGTGAGTTTAATGTATTCAAGCAACACTGAACTGACAATTTAAATAACTACATTTTTAAACAAACGAGGCATTGATGTTAATGTATGAAAATGGTCCAAACCCCTGGGAGTCTTGGTTCCCACCATTGTTTATTCTGACAACAGGATATAATTGCTTACTTACTTGGCAGCAAATTTAACCATCTGTTTGCTTGCATGGTCTCCCACTGCCACAAGAGCCTGGACATTAAACTGCTGCTGACGTAGGACTAAGAAGCACTGCTTCCCTGAACAAGACAGAAAGAATACATACTACTTCAGGTTTTACAAAGAAGGAAGATGCTTCTGTACTTTAAATTTGGACCAAAATTTACTATATTCATTAAGCATATACATGCGAGTTTATCCATATGGCTTCCACAGCCTAAATACACTCAATTTATAAGCTTTAAAGACACTCAAGTTCCTATGATGAGTTACAAAAAAATGCTTTTAATATGTTCATTATGAGAACATAGGCAAACCACTAATTTCAAATATGTGTGTATATATATATATATATAAAATCAGAAGACTATTTTGTCTTATTAAACAAACTAATTTCAAACCACTTTCAACAGTCAGTCAATAGCTGCTATATTCTACAGGCAAAGACAATGTAGTAATTTGCATGGAAACTTCAATTATGCAACCATAAAAGTGCTAATAAAGTGCTTAATAATAAGAACTTCCCAGGCATACTATGGGGGTGGTCCATCTACAGAGTTCTTACCAAAGGGCATTTTAAAGAGCATTTACATTGACAGGTTCCTTTCATGCTCAATTTTAACATTTTCCCAATCCTTCATCCTTTATAATAGATCCATATTTTTTAAAGTCCAAATAATTTACTTTTGTCTGTAAAAGACTATTCTCTTTGAGCCCTATAACCAGTTAAATTTTTATATATCGTGGGCTTCTTGATTTCTCCTCTTTCATAAACAGCTGTCATTCCTTATTCATAACCTTCTGAAAAAACATTACTCATAATAGATGTCAGTCATTGTGTATCTCTGACACTCCTTTTCCTCCAAAATGGATTCTTTTAAAGTCCCTTTTATAAGGAAAACTACTTCCTTAATAAAAGTGAGTTAAATATCTTTAAGAACACTTTCTCACCAGATTGCCTTGAGAAACCTCAAAAGAAGGGTTCATTTTAAAACTGAGCATTCTTTCTTACATTAAGAATTAGCCTTGCCCTTCCCAAAAAATCAAAAATGCAAGCAGACTTACAGTTATTACTTTCAACACATGGCATTTTGAAATGCAAATTAGATATTCATGAATAAAAAAAGCCTGCAAACAAAGTGTCAACACAGATACAATCTATGGACTCTGGAGTCACATATGATTGACAGTTTTTTAATCATTAAAAAGACACTAATTTTCTCTTTTGCTATGGAATATGATCCAATGAGTCACAAAGTACAATCTTAAAGAAAGTTGTTTAGACTGAACAAATACAGAGGGATTTTAAGATACAGAAGGGTAAAATTTATTACAGTAAAACCTGCAGGTAGATCAAAATTACATTATCTTAAGAACTACTATTGAAACCACAGGCAGACACTGTCCTAAACAGAACGTTAGTGAGAAATGGAAGGAAATGTGTATTCATGAGTGCTAGGCTAACCCAGGATTTAGTCAAGAGAATTTTAGTTACTCTAGTTGTTTAGACAGTATGGACCTCGCTGCATTATAAAACTATCCAGTGATGTAACCCAGTGATGCTGGACTCCAGTAATGCACAAAAGACCCTGAGAGAGAATGGAGAGCTTTAAAGGACTTACAAGGGGTGAGCACAGGACAATGTCTATGGGTCAGCACTAGGGGGTAACATTTAGTTTAATGGTTTGGCAGAGAATAAAGGCTTTGAAATCAAAAGGCTTGGGATGGTGTCCTATCACTTTCTTATGAAGAGGCCTGTGGGAAAATTATTAAACCACTTTATGTCTTTGTTTTTCATCTGCACAGCGGAGAAAGCAATAGCTCAGGGTTTTCTTTTATAATGTTCAGAATTACATATGTTTAAAGTCAAGACAGATAAACATTAATGTTAACTATTAAGTTGTATTATTATTAATAGCATGGCTACTTACTAGAGATGGGTTATACTGGGTGCTGAGAACACAAAGGTAAATATTTGGCAGACATTCTATTACATTAAAAAAGTGATAAAACCTTTTACATAGAGCATAATCTCAGTTTTGTTTATATAAGCATATTAAGATTGATTGTATATGGGGAAAAATACCAAAACATGGCTAGTAATGGATGGTGAAATTACAGGAAGTTATTCTGTTCTTTGTATTTTTTTTTTAACTTTCTGCAATAAACATGAACTTTTCTAATCAGAAAAAGTTAACTTTTTTAGTTACACAAAGACCTAGGTATAAAAGAAAATTAAGGGTTGAAAGGAAATTTAGCCACATTCAAGATTCAACAGAAGCAGTAAATAAGTAATAACTGGGAAACTCTAGGAGGCTTAACACAGAAGGAAATGAACTCTAAAATCTGACATGCCTGCTAGAGAAGATTATGAAATCAGTAGCTATGGATGAAGTGAAGAATGTTCACTGTTCACGTTTGATGTATTTATCAGATGTAATTCTAAAAAATGAAATCTCTTCTTTAAAAAAAAGGCAGCAGATGGGAGGAAGGGATGAAGTAGTGAGACTAGTCACATGAACATATTATATTGTAAAACTATAGTATGCAGAATGTACAAGCACAAAAATAGTCAGATCAATGGAACATAAGAAAAAACTTAGATAAAAGAGATTCTAATTCTAGATGGAATTCAGGAGATTTAAAACATAAAACAAAAGGGCTGGAGAAGCAGCTCAATGCTAGACATGCTTAGCATGCTTGAAGATCTGAGTTCAATTCCTCCCCACTGCAAAACAAACCAGCAAAAAAAAAGGAATTATGCATTACCTGAACTGTAGAAGAAAAGACTTTTCTAACTGAAAATATGGGAGAACATGTATATACATAAAAAAAAGGGAAAACACATAGAAAAATTTGCTTAAAGACAACCTATATAAAAGTTAGTATGTTTAATAAAGATCTTAAAGATTTATGATAAGATACCAGTAAATAAACAGGCAATAAATCAGAACAGATAATTTGAAGAAAAAACAAATCACAGTAAGTAAACATAAGGGACAAAATGTTGCTGATAATGAAAGTAATGTAAGTTGAGACAAAACAGTGATGGCACATTCACCTCTCAAATGAATAAAGATTTAAAAAATATAACATGCAGTGCTTGGTAGAATTAAGTAAAAATGTTCCATCTTATCTTGCAACAGGCATTAAAAGGCATAAAATTGTCTCTTGACTCAATATATTAGAATGTATGATAGGATTTAAATATGGAAAAAGTCTTATAACACATATATACAACATAACTATTCATATAAAAAATGGAAGTTCTGTTATCTCTCACTTCATATTTAGGTAATCTTTATTAGCTGAAAAGATCTACAGGAGACTCCAATACAATGACCTCCAAGTTTTCTTTTTTAAAGTGTTTTCAAATACTTGAGCTTTAATTGTCCCCTTAAGAGGATTTTTAAGACTCAAAAAAAAAATCAGTACTGGTTTCCTGGTACAGAACTGTCTACTTAAGCTACCTCTATCAAGTATTCAAGACCAAGTTCTTGCCATGTGCTAGTAAACACTGTTTTTTCTTGGGCTCTGGCTGGTGACACACTGCACTACCTGATCTGCTTCGTTCAATGTACTGCATGGCACATGCATAAGTTCAGTCTTCTGAGCTGAACAAATATAGTAGGTACCCAGGACAAAAGGTTCACTACCATCTCTGTTTTGGTGCTGGCTCAGCAGTGAAGTGGGCTTTCATGGGAATACTAAGTTATCTAAGATATGAGGCAATCCTATGTTTTCATCTCTTCCCAGTCTTTGTTTGCTAAGTTCCTGAATTCATTATTTAGATAATACTCAACATTAATATTCTCCTGTACCACTTATATTAATCAATTAGGGAACAAAGCAACAAAGACTTAAACATTTTAAAGTACTTTCCATTTATTGTTTCCCCTGAAATGTTCTCACATGAATATAACTGAAGTTAAAAATCTTAAGCTACCTGATTACCAAAAAAGCTAGTTATTTTAGAAGTATAAGTTATTTATACTAAGAACAGTACTAGAAGAAAATTACTTTGTGCTGATGACTTTCATGTAGCATGTATGAAATGTGAAAGAAACCACACACATTCCAATTATTCTTTCAATATGCAGACTTAATCTCATAAGCCTTCATGTTAGAAAGAAACTGATTTTAAGCATACCATTAAGATGAAAAATTTCTTCTTGCTCCTGTCTAAAACATGTCACGTTAGGGATAAACCTGCTGTAAGAAATCTGATTTTAATTTTTAAAAATGTTTAAAACATTGCCCTTAATTTAAGAAAAACATATACAGACATGTTACAAGCCTTTTTTCCCCTCGCATAATAGGATTCTAATTGTCCTATTTTTGCACTATAATTTTGGCACTTCCATTTCTTTATATGTGGTTTCTCAGAATTTTGCTTTACTCAAAATTCCCAACATGGATTGTTTTTCTAAGTTTAGCTTTAATGTGTCTGTAACTTCTGGAATTAAAGCACATAAATGATTCCAAGTAAGTCATATTTGCTGATATAATTTTTCCTGTGTAAAATATAGGAGGAAAGGAACAGTAGTAACCAAGGCTTTACAAATTCTAACCAGAATATATGTGTGTGTGTGTATATATGTAATCCGCATTGGCAGAAATAAAAAAATACTGACAATCATTATTGGCAAGGATATGGAAAAGTGGTACCGTGACATACTTGTGTTATCTGGTATTCACATTATCTTACAGTCCTGCAATTTCACTTCTAGATATCCATCCTGGAGAAATACTGTCCTATGGCAATCCATAATAAGTATCATGACAGAAGTTTCAAGAAACATGATTAATGAATATTAAAATTGAAAATAATAAATAAAGTACAAGACAAACAAAAATCACACATACAAAATAAGTAAAACAAAACTGTGTGTACACACATTAAAAGAAGATCTGGAAAGCCCCTGGACAAATATTAAGAATGAATGGAAAGGACTGGGACAGAAGATATGTAGTAGAGAACAAAGGGACTATCACTATTCTGTATTTTTAAAAAATTCACATGAAAGTATTAATGTATTACTTGGGTGGGACTGGGTTTAAATTCAGGGATTTGTGTTTG